AAAATATTTACGTTTAAATACCAACTTTACAAAAACCAGTCTGCACTTACCCCACTTCACCTTATGAAAATTTGTGAAAACCTTCAATAAACCTTCCGAAATTACATGAAATGCAAAAAATTGAATTACCTGACAAGTAGTTAGTAATGTCTTCAAATTCTGGAAGTGTGCAATATAAGGACATCTGGCCAACGTTTCGTAAACTCCTTTCAAAAGGTCATTTGCAGCGGTCCAATCGGTGTTTCTTCTGATCGAAGCTTTCTTATGAATCTTGCTAAACGTTTTATCGAGCCTCCTTAAAATATTTGTCAAAGCCGGCCTCATATCGTCGCTGGACCAATCGGTCGACGGTAGAATATCATTCATGTATCGTCTCAAACCGCGGCAACCCATCGTGCTTGCATCGTACGGTGATATTTTTAAGAGACTGTGCGCTATATCTGCTAATCGCTGTTTAAAAATTGAATAATCACTCATTGCTGATACTTGTGAAATTTTGGTAAAATCTGACTTAAATTTCTTGTTACAGTTTTAGCAATATATAAAATTTATATTTATACATCTTGAGGATTAATTTGTTTTAAGTCAGTATATTTTCGTTCTTTTTGGGGCCAAGTATTCATTCAATTAAAATACTCATTTTATAATTTAAGTTGAGTACTTATTATTAGTATTACAGGTGTAGATATCTCAAGGTTTAGGGTTTAATACCTCAAGGTTTGTCTAAGGATGTATAGATTTGTGGACATAGTGGTTTAGGGACATAGAGGTTGGGATGTATTAGAATTTGAAAATATGGAGGATGCGGAGATTTTGGAATATGAAGATCTGTAGACATAGAAGTTTAGGGTTATCAGAATCTGGGTATATACGAATCCAAAAAGACAGAAATTTGGGAATTTAGAGATGCAGTGGTGTAGAAATCTGGGTATATACATAGAGATCTGGGAAATAGGAACTGGAATATGTAGAATAAATTTCTATGTTCATGTGAAGAACACAAAATAAACATGTTAAGAACATATGTATATACATATGCACATACAAAAATATACTTACTATATGACATTTTGAATCCAGTAATTCGATCGTCTTCCCATCCTGAGACTTCTTGTTCAATTCTGTCAAACGAGTAGAGCATCGTACTACGAAATCTCCTACCATGTTTAACAATGTATCTCGTGGTCGACGAAATTCATTCTTGTGACAACTTTCGCTAGCTTCGTTATCTCGATCGTAAATGTTTCGCACCTTCGTGTGCTCCAGATATTTGGTATGTGGTTCATCATCGAAATCGAAACCAGGTGAATATGGTCCTTTGCCGTAATTTCTTTGACTGGAGCCTTTGTGTTCGGGACTTGATTTTTGGGGACCGTTGTAGTACCTGTAGAAGAAACGTACGGATAGATAGACTACTTTTTTATGATTATTCAATTTATTTTTGTAAATGATATTTTTGAGGACATTTTGTATTAGTTAATGTTTAATATTTAATATCGTTAATATCTTAAGTCGTTGACATTTAATATAGTTAATATTTTAAATCTTTAAAATTGAATATTTTTAATATTTAACTTTAATATTTCATTTAATATTTATAAACTATGAAAAAATAAAGAAATAGAACTCACTTAGTAAGTGCCTCCGAATTATTAACCAACGTTTTAACAGCAACAGCCAATTGATGTATTATCTCCTTCTCAGTTTTCCCCTCCTTGTTATAAGTTGGAGATTGAATTTGCTGAACGTAACACGGTAATATTGCTTCCAACGTAATCTGTAATAATGACAAGAAATTAATTGATAAAAATAGCCACGTTAATTTGCTATTATTTAAACATGCTACGTATGTATTTAAAATTCATTAGAGTTAATTTACCAGCATTTGTTGCCCCCTAACTGAATCTGGCGCATAAGCTATCACCATCACGCAAAGAGATATGCAATCTAATACCGTGACCATTTCGTTCTCATCGTGATAACAAAAATCGATGGCTTTTAGAGGCTTTTCCTCCTTCACCAACTCGTCTATGTTCAAAGGATCCGGTGATGGCGTTTCGAGGCTCAGTAATAAATTGAATAGACAGGTTGAGGGAACCTTTAAACAGTTTCAAACAATTTTTATTTCGTTTTATTTCTTATTTTAATGTAAATAGATATATTAATTATTGTAATAAGTTTATACTATAAATATAAAAATTATAGTAAAATATTACAAATATAAAGTTAAATTTCAATAAGAAACTTAATTCTTGAGGGTCAACACTTCAAAGTGCAGTAAGTGCATTTTAACTAGATTCAAAGTTCAGTATGTAAAGGAAAATGTAAATCTTACTTTAATATTTTACTTCACTTTAAATGTGAATTTTGAAATTTGATTTTCTGTAATAATTATGGTAACATTCTGTAGTAATTATAGTATTATGTTAACTTTATTTGTGTGTAGTAATTAGGTAATGTAAGCAAATGTCTATAAGTGATTTATCTCCATAATTGAAACTATAAATTCTTAAACTTCCAAATTCTCAAATCATCACAGCTCAAAGTCTCTGAATTCAAAAATTTTTTCACAAATTCCCAAATTCCCAAATCCTCAAATTCCCTATTTCCCAAATCCCAAAATCACCAAATTCCTAAATTTCCAATTTTTCAATTTACCAAATTTACCAAATTTCCAAAATTCTCAAATTTCCAAAATTCCCAAATCCCAAGATTCTCAAATCCCAAGATTCCCAAATCCCAAGATTCTCAAATCTCAAGATTCCCAAATCTCAAGATTCCCAAATCCCAAAATTCCCAAATCCCAAAATTTCCAAATCCCCAAATTCCCAAATTCCCAAATTCCCAAATTCCCAAATTCCCAAATTCCCAAATTCCCAAATTCCCAAATTCCCAAATTCCCAAATTCCCAAATTCCCAAATTCCCAAATTCCCAAATTCCCAAATTCCCAAATTCCCAAATTCCCAAATTCCCAAATTCCCAAATTCCCAAATTCCCAAATTCCCAAATTCCCAAATTCCCAAATTCCCAAATTCCCAAATTCCCAAATTCCCAAATTCCCAAATTCCCAAATTCCCAAATTCCCAAATTCCCAAATTCCCAAATTCCCAAATTCCCAAATTCCCAAATTCCCAAATTCCCAAATTCCCAAATTCCCAAATTCCCAAATTCCCAAATTCCCAAATTCCCAAATTCCCAAATTCCCAAATTCCCAAATTCCCAAATTCCCAAATTCCCAAATTCCCAAATTCCCAAATTCCCAAATTCCCAAATTCCCAAATTCCCAAATTCCCAAATTCCCAAATTCCCAAATTCCCAAATTCCCAAATTCCCAAATTCCCAAATTCCCAAATTCCCAAATTCCCAAATTCCCAAATTCCCAAATTCCCAAATTCCCAAATTCCCAAATTCCCAAATTCCCAAATTCCCAAATTCCCAAATTCCCAAATTCCCAAATTCCCAAATTCCCAAATTCCCAAATTCCCAAATTCCCAAATTCCCAAATTCCCAAATTCCCAAATTCCCAAATTCCCAAATTCCCAAATTCCCGTAATTTCCAAAATTCCCAAATCCCCAAATCCCCAAATCCCCAAACCCCCAAATCCCCAAACCTCCAAATCCCCAAATTCTCAAATCTCCGAACTCCCTAGTTTGTAAGTCCCTAAATTCCCTAGTTTCCATGTTCCTAAATTTCCAAGTTTCCTAGTTCCCATGTCTGGAAATCTCAAATCAACAATATTTGATCAAAGGTTCATTATTGTTATTTAAAAATTTTAACTATGTCTATTATACTTTATACTATATACTACATACTATACTTTACTCAAATATTAATTGAATCTAATATAATTGTTACAGGAGTACATATGTGTAGGATTATAAGATTATATAACATACAATTATAATCTCATAATCTCATAGTATACTAATAAATAATATTTTTAATACGTAAGTATATACATTTTCAAATCTCATAAAAGTCTGCAGAGGACCTCAAAAACAGCTCAAAATATATTAAAGCTAATAGCTCATAAAATAATAAATGATTGCAGAATAATTAAATTAATAAATATTTCTCAAAACTTGAAATGTGTTATTATTCTCATATTATTTTTAAATAATGAATACTGTAATATATCTACGATTTGCATAAAACGAATTAAATTTCAAAAAATACCTTATGAGCCTCTCCGTGATCGCTCGTTTCGTCCGTGTCCAATATAGTAGAGACACTCCCAAACATCTGAAGAATGAACGGTTTTCGATTCATCAGATAAAATTGTTTCACAGCGTACTCTACGGTAGTTGTAACCAATTTATTCGTCTGATGGGTCGAGTACAATTGCAACAAGGTCGGTATAATCAACAAATAACCGTTCGTCGAGAAAATATTTTTGAAATTATGCGCCGCGTTTATGTACGTAGCGACAACGTAACGCAAGATACAAGAATCCTCGCTGTGCAGGATAACAGCGCCATTTAAAACGTTTAGGAAAAGATGGATGTCTCCGGAGTATGCGAAATTGCCGGCCATTGCTTCGAACATTCTTGCGATCAGTCTGACCCACATGAATTTGTGCATCACGTCAAGACCGAGAAGTTCCTGAACATTTATAAAATAATTTATTAAACCACATTCAATTTTATTTGGTTTTTTATGTGTAGCAGTTTTGGATTATTTTGGAAAATAATTCATTAAAGCATAGATTCAATTTTATTTATTCTTTCATATGGTTTCGGAAATTATTCAAAGATCGTTAAGGTTGTTAAAAATAGCGATTTGTGAAGAAAATAATGTTGAAGTATGATCAAAAATAGCTATATAGAAACGTGATAAAATTCATAACTGTATTTTAGGAAATATGAGAATTTCTGTTTGGGTTATTTTATTGTTTGCCATTGAAATATAGTAATTTTTAAGAATAAGATTTGCAAGTTTAATTTTTACATGTTGGCGATTTCAAAAATTACTTCGGTAACTTTGATAAAATTGTTACTTCTTATAACTTATAGAGAGTGTGACATAAGAATAAATATTTAAATATTGTATTAACAAATTATATTATTGAAATAAAAATTAACAGAATTTATTAGACAATCATTTGAAATTACAATTAGTGCAAAGTTTGTACAAACTTCCATTTTTGTATTCAATTAATATTCTTCAAATTTGTTATTTCTTATTTTTTATTTCTAACCCTTATTTCTTTTTATTTGTACTTTCAGTTTATAATTCTTACAGTAAATCTCATAGTTATAATTCAGCTTACAGTTATCATAATACAATTTAATGTTTTTATAATTCAGTATATTGTACCTATAGTCTAAATTATAGTTTCACGTATGTAATTCCATCCGCAAAAATTAAAAAAACTTACCCTGCCAATTTCCCCGCCTTTATACAAATCTAGGTCTGCTTCCAGAGCTCTTCGTGGAAACGAGGGCAACTTCATTAATTCTTCATGTAGGAAGACCACCCTTTGCACTACCATGTCGACATTTTTCAAAATTGCCCACGTTAATAGAACTTTTCCAATTTCAACGAATTTATGAACCAATTCTTGTCGTTGTAATGCGTTGAATGCTTCGTCTTGCTTCATGTGAACTAATATAATTTCAGAAAATTGTGATTTTCCTTTGAAGAAATAATAATCGCGGGCGTACGACGAGGGATTGCGAATTTGATCTGAAAGGGAGAAGTACAGTTATCGAGTTTATACGAATATTTTTTAAATGATTTTTGGTAAAATTGAAAGTTTGCTAAGGAATAATCATAATATGTCGATAATTTATAATAACAAGCTATAAGTTAGTTATAAGTTCACTGATTGTAAGGTAATTTATAATAAGTTAATTTAATAAAACGAAAATTTTAAAATACAAGTTAGTTATTTCTTGAAATGTATATTACAGGACAAAGTTCTCTAATAATATATAAACTACAAATTATAAAATGATATTCAAAATGAATAAAAATGACGTTTTCAAATAATAATTTTTAACTGATGTAAAAGAGTGAAAAATGTTGGAAAAAATATATGAAAAATTGAAGAATATCATGGATCGATACAAACGTGTTTTATAATCAACAAGAAAGTATTCTTGTTGTTTATTCTCTTCGATATTGTAAAAGCTCAAGGACTCTCTAAGTATTTGGCCGAACTGCGTATCTTCTTGTACTGGAAAGTGTAAAGGAATGCCTCCAGAGTCCGGATCTTGTGGACCATAAACTACAATCTTTTTCGCCGATGGTACGTTAGCGGTTAATAAAATAGAAGCATCGCATTGTTCTTTTCGTAAAATCTGCTTTAAATCTTTAAACATTATCCCGTGTACGCTATGCACAACCTAGGAACACCAGAGCGTTATTATACACTTATTAAAGAATAAAATTGAAAGTTTAGACGCAAAATTATGTTACAAATGCGTGCAACAATCATGAACAGTGTCATATTATAAATTATTGTCAATTAGAAATTTTAAAATGTGTAGTCAGAATAATTTCTTTCTATTTGTGTATATTTTTGTCTCGTTTGAAATAAACAGTTTGAGAAATATGATATATGTAGTTTGAGGAAGATTGTGTAAATAAACGAGATAAATGTATGAGTATAATAAGAATGTATGAAAATATATAAATAAATAAATTAACAGTTTGTACATATGTGTATACATGTGAGTATACATATGTGTATACATATGTCTATATGTGTATAATTTGACAAAGAATGTATATTTTTCATCAATTACTTTATGTATGGAAATATATAAATAAATAAATAAATAGTTTGTACACATGTGTACATATGTGTATATGTGTATAGTTTGACAAAGAATGTATATTTTTTACTTTGTCGTAATTTAAAAGGAAAATAATACAAAATATCACAAAAGTCGTATCAATTTTATTCGTATCGGGTATATTCCTGTAACGCGAGGTGATATAACGCGAGGTTGCAACACGTAGCAATATAACGCGTGACTATACAACGCATAAGGATATAATATACAATAGTATAACATTTTCTTTCAAAATGAATGTGTACACCTTTATTTAGCATAAACCTGTATGTTCACAATTGCTTATTACAACTGCACGAACACTTTTATTTACAAACACGTGCAAACATTAGTAAAACATTGTAAACAAGTCAAAAAGAGGGATGAGAACCAATTAATTGTAATATCTCCTACCAAATTAAATTAAAAGATATCTCCCACCCACTTAAATTATAAAATAACTTAAAATTATATCCAGACTCATGCAGTCCACAATTACATTACTATACACAAAATAGCGGATTTCACAGCATGCAAAGCTTAACTCGTATTATATACATTCTTTACAATAAATATAATAAGCATTCAAACTGCTAATTGCAGTCAATTAGCATTGAACTAAGCATTCAACTGCTAATTAACAAATATTCTAATGCAATAACACAGCATGCAATTAAAATATTATTTATAAACTTGTATTACCATCCACAGTATCGAAAGTGCGGTTCCAATTAATTTTTGTCCCTCCTCATGAGGGGAACGCACGTAAAACATAACATAACCGATTATGTAATTGTACAAAGCGAAAGCAGCTTGTTGAGGTAGCTTTGGTACAAATCGAATGAGATGTCTCAAGATTTTAAACATCAATTCTTGTTTGTCTCTGGTGAGACGTTCCAAAACGTAACGAAGAAATAGAGCACTGTCTTCAACCAAACAATTCCAAATCACCTAACAGAGTTAAGAAATGTGTAATTTCTGTATTTTTTAGGGTGGGTGAACGCAAATTATAACTCACTTGATATGCAACTTCGTAAACAGCGCTTCCATCGTCTGAAACAGCAGCATCATCAAGCAAATTGATGATCTGTACGATCGCCGAGCATAAAGAGGAAGGAAATAATGATGGCGCCGATTGGCTGTGATGAGACGTATTCCTTGGTATTGTTTCGCCGCCATCTTCGTCTCCAACGTTTCCTAAATTAACAAATTGATATTCCTATTAAACCTATTATATTGGTTATAATTTTATCTAAAGTACTGGTTTGTTGGATGTTTTCTACCGCTTTAAAAATGTAAACGGTGGCAAATTCTCAGGCTTTCAGATGTTACAGTTTATAAAATTAATAGTGTGGAAATTTGAAATTTTGCAAGATTAGCAATTTTAGGAAGAAGATTAGGAATTTTGAAGATCTGAATACTTAAAAGTGTAGGAATATGAAAATTGGAAAATTTTGGATATTGGAAATTTAGAAATGTATAACTTGAGATTTGAGAAAAAATTAAAAAATTTTGTAATTATCAAATTTGAAAACTAAGTCCTTCGTGCCCACAAGAGCATACCACTTACACACTGAAGTATAAACTACTAAACTCGAACAAATAATTAATTATTCCATTCCAAAACTGAAATCCTATTACATCTAAAATATGGGTACCCTTTAATTATTAGTACTTATTCAAAATACTTATTTTGAAGCAATACTTATATTGTAGCAATCTATTACGTCTGATGCCGAAATCAGAGTGCAAGGTGTGAATTATCCAAATTACAGATGTCAACCCACGAGTTGACAATTTGGAGGTTTAGAAACGTTGAAGTTGGAGTTTGGATGTTCATTCAGAAGTGTAGAAATTTGGCTTATGGAAGTTTGAGAGCTTGTATATTTAGAAAAGCAGAAATTTCGACTTATGGAAATTTGAGAATTTGGATATTTAGAAAAGTAGAAATTCAGGCCTGTGGAAATTTGAAAATTTGGATATTTAGAAGAGTAGAAATTCGAGCTTGTGAAAATTTGAAAATTTGGATATTTAGAAGGGTAGAAAATATGTCTTCTAGAAATTGACAAATTTAGATATTCTAAAATGTAGAAATTTGAGCTTATAAAAATTTGAGAACTTGGGTATTTGAAAAAGTGGAAATTGGGGCTTATGGAAATTTGACAATTTGGGTACTCAGAAAAGCAGAAATTCAAGCTTGTAGAAATTTGAAAATTTGAATATTCAGAAGTGTAGAAATTTGCCACCTTGAAATTGACAAATTTAGATATTCAGAAGTGCAGAAATTTGCCTCTTGGAAATCGGAAAATTTAGATATTCAGAAACTTAGAAAACCTATTAAAAACATGATAATTTCTCCAGAATTCTAACCAAATAAATTCTGCCCAATTTATACAGAACCAAGAATTCTGAATTATAGCTCTTCTAAACACTTAAATCATGTGCCAACTCATGGGTTGCCATCGGTACATACCTTCATCATGGTCGTCGCCCACAGGACTCGGTTCGTACGCAGCTTGCACGGTAATCGGTATAGTAGTGATTAAAAAGTTCTCTCTTTCTTCGCGTTTCTTGTCGTCTTGTGCCTGTAAAGCCTTCTTTATCAGTTCCGTTTGTTGCTTCTTACGAGTTTTTGTAGCCGTCACCAGCGACCTCTAAGTAACAGTGGTAGTAAATTCTACTTTATTAGGGATGGTTATCTAACCTAGTGGTACTAAATTCTACTGTATCTAAAACTAAGGTGTTTCTACAGCAGAATCAAACTTTCCCCCAGACTTACATGATGCTCCTGATTGATGGTAACTTCCTCCACTTTCGTCTTCACCTGCGGCATCCATGGCGGATCCACAACGGGCAGCGACTCGATACCAATCTTAGGCGACGGCAACGTGAATTCTATACCTGGTGGAGGTACTTTGAAGGTCAAATGAGCGTTCTCCTCCATTCGTGGCCAAACCTGGTACCTCAGCTTCCATAGAACTTGAAACCTCAAAATGGCGTTTATTCTCACACTCGGGCTGTTATGTTGAAGTCCATGATGCATCAGTTCGCTAGCTTGACTCGGAGCTCGTACAGCTCCAACTATGAAGAGGGACGCTGCAGAAGCTGCAACTTCTTGATTGGATTCCAATAACAGTTCCCAAGCGACAGGTAAAACGTCGACGAACAACTCCTCCGTCATCACAACTGCTCCTTTGACCAAGGTAGCCATCGGCGCGTGGAAGACGTCCTTCACCTGAGTCTTCAAGTACTTCAGGATCGCTAGATTTTCGTGATCTATGTCGCTGTCTCCGGATTTTTTGGATGACTCCTTCCCTTTCTCTGAATCTTGGTCCGCTAAGTCTTTCGATGAGTCGCGTTGAGTCATTCTGCAGGACTGGGAGCCATCCATGTTCTTCTCGATCCTGCGGATTAAGGTTTTGATACAAGGTTTTTTAATATGAGAAAATTGGTTAATGCAGGATTATTTTAGAATATTGGTGAATGTAGGATTAGTATGTATTATAAAATATTAAATGCAATTAATGTTAGTAACGAATATTAACATTAGCAACTAATGTTAAACTTACTTATACTTTTTCCCGACACTGTCCTTCCTCCGCACGGGTGAGACTTGAGTACTAGCTTGCTCCGAAATTTTCCGACTACGTTTATCCTTCTTACCGCCTTCCTTCTTATCAGTATCAAAGTCGAACATTCCCGTGCCGTTCAGAATCCCGAATTCTTCTCCATAAATCTTCCTCACGGACTTGATTAGTCTGCTGCAGGCTCTCATTTGTCGTCGATGGCAATACGGATGACAAAAGTTCTGATGGGAACAGTAGAAGTTGAACGAATTGGCGAATTGCACCAACACCTTCATCCATGGAAAATTTTTGTTAGTTTCGTCCGTTTCGTTACTGTCGCATGGACTCTCTGGAGGTTGATCGTCTATTAGTATTCCTGGTGATTCTTCTCCACTAATCTCACCACCAAAACCGGGTTCGGAAGTGTCACTCCTGTCTGACAGTGAACTCACTTTTCTTTTTGATTGGATTGAATCCGCTCGTTTTACTGTATCTGATTAACACATTATCATTAAGATTGTTTATCTGTCAGTCAACACGCTCGCTGCGGTGGCCATTTTGTGGAGACTCTGGCGGCCATCTTGTGGAGGCAAATGGACCCCATATAACATTTAAATACTCGTTTTACGAATTCAAAATGAATGTGCAATGCACAGTTTTTTAAATATATTCAGCTTATTATTTAGAGACAGCTTTATAGTTTGTATATCGATGAATATAGCGGAGACATAAAAATATTAATGATTATGCGAAGTTAATAGTTATTTGAAACAGTAGTTGTACGAAAGTAATTATTAAGAATAATAGTTATACGAAAATAATGACTGAGAATAGTAGTTATAAGAAAATAATTATTGAGAATACTAGTTATACAAAAATAGTAAAAATCCTTCTCCAAAAGTTTTGATACGGGGTCTATTTCTCCCATACAGCAGTGAACGTGTTGCAAATACTGGAAAATACAGTTGAACAATCTTCTAGGCCAACTATGCAGGTTATTGCAACTATGCACTCTATTTAGTGACAGCCTGGCTATTCCTCAAGTGTTGAAGGCATAAAACAATACATGAAAATTAGATAGAAAAATAAAGAATTACAGAGGTAAATATTGAAATAGGAAGTTCATTAAAATGTTCTGTTGTGCATTTCGTGTGTTACCTGTCGAATATCAAACAATTTTCCTGATACGTTAATAATTTATCTGGTTTTTCAAAAATTATTTTATCCTATAAAATAAATCTATTCTAGAATTTTTTGCTTGCTTATGCACAAATATCAAATAAATAAGTACAATTCAATGTATTGGATACAGTAAAGCTCTGACCACAAAAATATCTATTACTAATCCCCTCCAGTTCTTCAGATGGGTGATTTTGTACACAAAAATTTGCAATGCATTTGTATATTATTTGCATGCACAGAAAGGTCATTCTATTATTGTGATTCATTTCTAGTTACTTTTGGTAACTATGTTTTTTGTATACTCACAAGCCTCGCATTCTGTATCCTTGCCCTCTTTAGTACCACGTCGAAGTTTCAGACTTCTCTTTTTGAAGGAACCACTCGCATTTTCCGCGGTACCACGACGAAGGAGAAAAGGTCGAGCTTGGGGTGGTTGCACGCGTTTGGCCTTCTCCTTTTCCATATTCTGAAATTCTTCTCCTTGAATCGTAACCGTTGACTTGCTGCTACCTTCCGATTCGTTGTCTGGCTCGTACAGGACGAAACTAATTTTGCGTTCCGCTGAAAATTTAATATGTATCGTAATAGTTAATCAACCTTTAAATACTAGTTATATTCAGTTTTAAGAATCATGAGTAATTAATAGTAGGTTTAGAGATGTTTGATGATGCTTATATTTAAATTTGAACTAAAGTAGAAAAATAAATACGTCCACATATTGACGGAGCTAAAAAAATATTTAAAAATAGCCTAATCCTTCATGAATAAAACGAACAAAAATTTAGCTAAACCGGTTGAGCAATTTCTGAGAAAAAAATAACCCTATTTTCCGGCAAAATGATGACTTCAATGATGACTAATTTCACATGGACTACAACACATTTCGATTAGAGCAAAATCGGAGATGGTAACTTCCAAAAGTGATCGATTTGGCGTGGAATGACTCACGGGTACTTACGAGCTACCTCACGATCGCCTACAATGGATTGCAAACTCTGTGCTGATGTTTGAGAATGACCCATCGAGGAGAGCGCCATACTCCATCTTCGATTTGCTTCCCTGCTGTACATGCGTTCCCAAGGAGGTGGACGTTCTTTCGTTAAAAGTTTGTTGAACTTTGGTAAAGTTTGGTAGGTTTCTCTTAAAAAGGCTGTTACTTCCAAGAGTAGAATACAGGCGACTGAGCGCAGCGCCATTGGACATTGTGATCCATAACCATTTATGCTAGCTATAACATCGACATAGTAACTTGAACGTTATACTGAACCACAACTGAATATGTTTTTGTTAGTATTTAGTTGAGCATTTAGTTGACTAGCATTTAGTTTAATATTACCCTTTGTTTTTATTTGGGTATTTGATAATTTCCATAAAAATCAACATTATCAAATTGCATAAAAATCGAAAGCTACAACAATTGCATAAAATAAAAATTGTATTACCTTCGTCAAGAAAGTCCTCTTCTTCATCCTGAGTGACTAAATCTCGTTGTTTGCTTTCATCGGACACCATTGCTATCACTTGATCAACATTCTGCTTGTCTTCCAACAACAATTCCTCCAGTCGTGCACCAAGAGCCTATTTAATTGTAAATTTTGAAATTTCTTTGTGAAATAAATTATGCAATAAAAATTGAGTACCTCTGCCCATTGATAGAACAATTTGCCAGCAGTACGTTGCAGCACATGAACTCGGCTGAGCACCGTGGTTGCATTTCGATTATTTATGGGCATTGATGGACGGAACATGGGAAAATTCATTTTCATCCAGGTTGGCCATTGTCCTTTATTACATTGATGCACGAAATGTGCACATTCTAATAGTAGACACGCTCTGGCGACTACAGGGGCGTAAGGCTAGAGGAAATATATATTTTGTTATGGTGAATTATAGGCTTAATTCGAGCAATAGAATTATATATTGATTAAAAATGAAATATTATTACAAGATCTAAAATTGCCGCCATTAAATAGTGATCAGGAACCGAACCAGGTTGACAAGTTTCCAATAAAAACGAGAATCTCAGCATTCCATCAAAAACTGCATTACGAGGTACAAGTCTTCTTTCTTTCAAGACCACGAATTCTGACTCCCTTGACGCTTCGCCGAAATCCATAGAATTTCTTCTGCTGAAATCTACGATTAAAGCGGTAAAATTTAGTAAAAGTGTGAAGAAACTTTACATCATTTTTATTCCGATTAAGAGGTTTTTTATAATAACCGACATTGATAATTATTATTTTCTCACTTTTAATAATTTTGAAATTTTTATTTTAGTTATATGTAGGTTTAATTTAATTTTAATTTTAATTGTAACTTCATTGCAAATTATATTGATGATTTTTTTTAAGGTGATGCAGTGAAAGGATCACAATCTTAATTATTATTAAATGAAATTTATATAAAAACAAGAAAAATAACGAATTACATTGGACAGAGTGCGTATAATTAAAAAAAAAGAGGAATTTATCGTTTGCTTACAACTTCCTGGTGCTTCTTCCAGACTTTCCTTTTTCTTACTCTTTCCAAAACCGATATTGATCAGCTGATCTTGCATTCTGCGTTTTGCTTTCTGTAGAGTTAGGCCAACACTAAACACACGAGATTTACAATTAACACATTGAGTGTTACAAAAATCAGTAACCAGCTAACTGGTATCTACTATAAATTATTCAGTTACCAAGTATTAAATAGTTACTAGTTCTGAATTTATATCAAATTTAAGCGACTCTTACAGGTTTATACTTTGAGAAAAGAATTCACTCACCCACGTCCTGATCTGGATGCACTACGATGGTGTCCATAATGAAAACTGGATTGTCTAACAAAACTACCATCTGTTGGTGACTCACTGCTTTCGTGACTGTCAGTAGAATCAGTTCTACCGTACTCTTTTCGGAACCAATTTACTGAAATTAGTCAAACAGATCATTATAAAGAATTATACTTTTCAATAGTTTACACTAGAACCTAATTTTTTACGCTTAATGATCCACATTGTGTTATGCGATCCCAGTCAAATTAACTTCTTGAACGACTTTATATTCTGAAAATCTAAATAAATATCTTTTCTGAAACTACAGTATTTTTTCTCAAACCATTATATCTCAAGAGTGTTCAACTAAAATTTTAGTTATTTATATAAAAATTAAAACAAGTTTTGAAGTTTATAAGAACTAACATTCTTTCTATTTTTTCCCGTTTCCAAATTTTTCATATTCTACGTCAAAACTAAAATTTTAGCTATTTATATTAAAATCAAAAACAGTTTTGAAGTTTATAAGAACCGATATTCTTTCAATTTTGTCCCGTTTCTGAATTTTTCATATTCAACGTCAAAACTGAAGTCAGTTCTGAAATATGTTAAAACAAGTTTCACTGATTATTTATAATTTTCTTCAAGTTAAAATAATGGATGGCTTCGTTGGAAACATTTTTAATGGCTGGGGTCTTACATGTCCCAGTGTCTCAGGTATGTTATTCTGATGAAATGTGATCCTTCAGAGTTAACATAAGAAATAATATAAATTTTTGAATAAAATATACGTTAAATACCTATGCCACCAATTTGAAAACGAGTCGATTTCCGAATCTTTCCAGAATTCAAAGAATCAATTCCTAAATTCCGTTCGCTCTGTCTCGGAGTTAGTATGTGATGCTTCTTTCTCAAATTACCGAGCGGACTTTGGCTAACTTTTGCGTTCTCTTCGCTCAATTCTGTTTCGAGAAGACTCTACATAAAGAGGGAATATATTACTGAAATCAGACTTTAAATAAGAATGTATAGCACATTTTTAATAAGTCACATACTGCACAGGTTGATGATGTGCTGCGCTTCTTGAAAAGAAACTTTCGAGTTCCTCTATCGTCTACAGTATAACAGGTGTCTCCCCCAATATCTGCGTGCACTTCTAAATTTGATTGTATGTGTCTGAAAACATTAGGTCGTTCTTATTGATAGTCGTATCTTTATTTACTTTTGTATACGAATAAAAGTTGTATGTCTGTCCTTTGTTTTATATAGGTTGCTTCTGAAATTAGTGCAAGAGAGGGATGGAAATTTTGGGAATTTGAAGAAGTAGGAATTTATAATTTTAGAGATTTGAGAATTTGAGAGTTTGAGAGTTTAAGAGTTTGAGAGTTGGAGAGTTGGAGGGTTTGAGAGTTGGAGAGTTGGAGAGTTTGAGAGTTAAAGAGTTGAAGAGTTGGAGAGTTGGAGAGCTGGGGAGTTGGAGATTTAGAGAGTTTGTGAGTTCGAGAGTTTGAGAGTTTGAGAGTTTGAGAGTTTGAGAGTTTGAGAGTTTGAGAGTTTGAGAGTTTGAGAGTTTGAGAGTTTGAGAGTTTGAGAGTTTGAGAGTTTGAGAGTTTGAGAGTTTGAGAGTTTGAGAGTTTGAGAGTTTGAGAGTTTGAGAGTTTGAGAGTTTGAGAGTTTGAGAGTTTGAGAGTTTGAGAGTTTGAGAGTTTGAGAGTTTGAGAGTTTGAGAGTTTGAGAGTTTGAGAGTTTGAGAGTTTGAGAGTTTGAGAGTTTGAGAGTTTGAGAGTTTGAGAGTTTGAGAGTTTGAGAGTTGGAGATTTGGAGATTTGAGAATTTGAGAGTTAGAAAGTTTGAGAGTTCGAGAGTTTGAGAGTTTGAGAGTTCGAGAGTTTGAGAGTTCGAGAGTTTGAGATTTGAGAA